TGGCCATTAAAGAGTAGTATTAATTTAAGCAAAACTCGAATAATTTTAATTCAGAAGAAACAACCTTATCAATAGATACAGAGACAGCTATGGAAGACGGGCTGCTTCATCTTCAGCATGGTATGCTTCAAAATAAATTATTGCAAACTGCTTTCCATCTGACCAACAAAATACTATTACTGTTGTAATTTTGTTAGAGAGATGCCTAATAAAGAAATGTGCTAGAAAAATGTTAGAAAAACCCCAAAACATATGTGTTTGGTAGCTATGTCCCATACATTGTTTAAAAAAAACAGTAAATATACAAGCAAATTGAACTTACAGCAGTTGTTATAAACATGTTGACCCACAGGTGACTTTATTTTGCCTTCTAGCAGAAAAACTATCATGCTTGGGTTGTTAGCTTTTGCAGTAACGGCAGAGAGAAATTTTCTAATCTTTAATTCTCCTTGAATGCTATCACAGCACAGTGTCTAATTTCACTTGCTGAATGCCTATGAATTAACAGTACTTTTAATTACTTTAGATACAATCGATATTTGAGCATGCTTTTCATTTTACATTCATTTTTCTTCCATTCATTATCAAAGTCTTTCTTATCACTAGACTGTTTATATTTTAATTTGTGTGGGCTTTAACAACATACTGGCTCCAATACTGTCCTAATTAAATTCAATTTACTTGCATAGATTTGAACAGCAACCCATGTTGACCTCAAAAGTACTTCTTTTTCTTCTTTCCAATATGTTTTACTGTCTATCAAAGAATTATTATCCCCAGGCCCTACTACTTCTTCAGAGTCAGCCAATGCCTTTGTGCAACTAGTCCTCCAATACATATCCAGATTAGTATTTCAGCTTTAATAAAATTACAGTCCAAGTCCTAAATGGCTTGCACTTTTTAGTCCACAGATGTTATTTAGGTCACTTCAAATAAATAATTGCAGAGCAGCTTCTGACCACACTAGTAAGAAAGGACTTTGATGTTTAAGATAGGATTTTTCCTCCCACAGCAATCACTCCCGATTTTCTTCTTAATTAAAACACTACTCAAAAATGTCTTTCTAGAATGGTCAAAGAATCGAAGCTGAAAGTATGGCTCACCTACGACTTTTCCTTTCATAGCACATAAATTCAACCCTGAGTAATCCCACAAAAGTGCCAGTACTATCCCTCCTACAGTGAAAGATACTCTGACTTTTTGCACTTCAATTTTACCCTTTCAAAAACCAGATTATTCTAACATTTAAAATTATTTAATTTTTAAGGTAAAATACATATACTTCTATATCACCATATTGCCACTTCTGTTATGCACGAGTGTATCAAATACTTTTATTTTTCCCTGTCTACGTTTCTTACATCTCCTTCTTTCCTACTGCAGTTGTTCTTCTTCCAGTGTAGAATCTTTTCTAGATAGGACTCTCATATGCAACGCCTAGTTAAAGCAAGCTCTGAATTCAGCTTTCTTTCAAAAGAAATATTATGATCTGTGACTGTACATACTAGTAACATCTCTTCTGATTTTATTCAGAAATAGTATGATGGTTTGAATCAATTAACCAAGACATAATATTAGTTTATGGTTTTTTTCATGTTTATTTGTGAAAAGTGGATATAAAAATCATATCAAGGGCAAAAGCGTAAAAGATTCCTCAACTAAACCTTCCCTGCCTTTAATAATTTGCATTTGAGAGTCTAGTTAATAGGTGGTTTAGGACAGAGAAGAAAAAACACAGGAGGTGTCTCCTTTATTTTTTGTTTTCTCTTGCACTTAGGACCCTAATTATGGATCAGCATTTAGTGATGTATATGCTGTGTAATGGTTTGCATCACTATGACAGAAGCAGAGACATTGCTCTTTGATGTGTAACCCCAAACAACTACTCCCCACCCCACCAAAAGCCAGTGGGCTGATGGCCAGGCCCTTAGGGAGCGCATATGGAAAGTACGGCATCGCAACAAGCACTTTCAGCGTGTTCCAAGAGCTTGAGCTAAGACAGTCAAATTTCTCTCGGTTTCCTGAAGCAACATAGCTGGTCTGCAGCTAAACTCATGACCAATGTGCAGCTGAATTCCTGATGCATTGCTGAGCCTAAGCTTACCTGAGAGATTTCTACAGTACATTGGAGATGCTTCTATTTAAAGTGTTATACAACCCATCTAGCTAAGATGGAGCGGAACATCCTGCTAATACTGCCTGGAAGAAATAGGCCATGTAACTTGGACACTGCCAATTGCCAAACAGAAATCAATTAAGAAATCCATGTACGGGGAAAAAAAAAAAAAAAAAAAGAAATCAATGCTCATTGACATGGCCCAGTGAGTGGATGATATGCAGAGTACAAAGTAGTACTGACATATATTGATATAAACAAGAATGC